CCTCGCCCCCCGCCGCTTTGCGCCCTCCCCGCGCAGTCTGCCCTGGCCGCCCGCCTCCCCAGCCGACCCCCAGCTCGCCCTTCTCACCCTGCTCCTGATTCCCACCCCGTCGCCAGACCCTCAGCCCACCCTCACCGCCCTGCTTCTCGACCCCCAGCCCCAGCTTCATCACCCTGCCCCTTCCATCCACAGCCCGGCCGGCTCAGGAGAGCTGGCCGTGGTAGCCCTGCTCTCCATGCTTCAGCTGCAGGCAGACCACGGCGGGGCCTCGGGGTGCTAGAAAAGCAAGATCCTCGGGGCACAGTGCTCTGCCATGGGAGCCGGGGGTGGGGGCTGCCTGACAGCCAGCCCCCGGGTTATAGATGTGTCCTTACCTCACCTGCTGGTTTGTCTTTAAGTTGCTCATAGTGTAGCCCCTAGCCCTGTCCGGCTGCCTGTGCAGACCAGAGCTAAGCGGCTGTACGCAGCATGAACCCAAACTTGCAGAAGGGGCTGCTGGCTCCCTGGCTATAGGGAGGCCTGGTAGCAGGGGGTTCTCATTAAAGCCAACCCTTCCCTCCCCTCATTTCTCCCATCTTCAGTTTGTTGAATAGAAACAAAATTAAAAACGAGGTGAATAATCCCCAGCTGCTGAGGGCTCGGCTCAGCAAACTCCCCTCAAGGCAGACCCAGCTCAGCCTGCCACCCTTCTGGAGGGACCAGTATGCCTGTTACAGCATGTCCTCAACCAGAGCACCAAGGGGGCAGCAGGAGGGCTGGGGGTGGGCAGACGGGGCAATGAAGATGCCGTACAGCCATCAACAATGGGGAGAGGTTATAGCAGAAGAGGACAGTGCCTACAGTGTGGGATTTCTTGGATATACAGGCGGGACCCGCAAATCCAGCACTGTCTTCTTGCTGCATGCAGCAGCAATAGGACAAGGAACCTGCAACCTGCTGCCTCCACTGGGGAACAGCCGACTGCAGGATGAGACGACACTAGTGTTTGTAGGATCTGCTACTGGATGAAAATAACAGCAGAAAGTTAGGACAGAAACAGAACTGCCAGAGGCTTTAGGTATTTTACCATGAGTACAGCAAGTGAAAGTGATTTTTCAGAATAGGTAAATTATTTACCATTTCCTCTAATGGTACTAAAAATCCCTCATCAGTAGTGACTGACGATTGCTGATTGGTTTTGCCTAGATTAAAGACATCCTAAATGCTTGTTTGAAATAAATGGGAGTTGTACAGAATGAGCAAAATAAAGAGATAATCTAGGCTTTGCAAGAAGTGATTCATGAAAGCAGTCTTTTATTTGTGTGTGTTTTGTTTAGCTCTCTGAATAACAGCCCACGTATTTTCATAGTTTTATTCCTGGTCTTCATCTGCCAGATGAAGTGCTTCCCACATTTATTTTCAGGTCCTAGGAGTGGCAAATATGATAGGAATTTAAATAAATTCAACAGCAGCACCAGATGGAGCTTGGTATTAGGACACCTGGAGGTTGGAGGGAAGAAGGAGATAGAAAAGAATAAAACACTTATGATTAGTAAAAATAATCAACACCAACTTTTTCATAAATGTCTGCTTGTCACAAGCTTGAATAGCAGGTGTTCAAGAGGGCTATAAACCGTGATTACAAGTGACTTAACAGTGACCAGTTAATCAGCTGTTAACTCTAAGTAACCTCTGCTTAGAGCATGCCTGAAAACATGCTGGATTTGCTGTATGCTCTGAGTGTCTCCCATCTCGTAAAGTGATTTTTCACAAATTCTTCCAGGAAAGCCCAAGGTGTATCAAGGTGTTAGAGTAAAGATTACAGTTAAGGAGTTACTGCAGCAGAGAAGAGCACGACAAGCAGCAACCAGTGCAGCAGTAAGTAAAAATCTTTTGGTGTCTGTTTTGTCTCTTCTCTCTTAATCTTTTTTGCCAAGACTGTAATCTCTGGCCCAGGGAGACTGCCAAAGTCTGAGCATAGCAGGCTGCTGAGGATGGGGGAGAAGAACGTTCAGCCAGGGTAACTGCAGCAGTGATCTAAAGAGGTGATGGTCTGAGCCATTACTGCAGGGAGAAAGCAGAGCTGGTGCTCCAGAACCGTAACTCACTCTGGGGTGGAAGGAGCACATGGACAAATTTCAGTCCAACTTACAGTTATCACAGCAACTCCAGTATCATTAGGCTGGATGAGCAAGGCTGGCCATGGTCACTGCCCCCTATTTAAAATGCGGCCTGGCTGGGCTGAAGCATGCACCAAACTGTTTTGAAGCATCAGGTGAAGCATATGCCCAGGCCACACCTTCGACCCGACCTGTGCAGCTTTGAGGAGCAACCAGTGCAAAGCTCCGTTGCACTAAAGCTCCCCTAACCTCCCCTTTTCCACAGGTCTCAGCCCCCCGGGAAGCTGCTTTCAACCACCCCCTATCCCTGGAGGCTTTCTCTTGTCCAGTTGGATCAGGCAGGGAATGAAGGCACCAGAGGTACAGTGCCTCCAGCAGGTCCCAGGCAGCGGAGAGGGTTTGGGAATTTGGGACTTGGCAACAGCCCCAAGTTTTGGCTAGCAGAAAGGAAAAAAAACAAGGCATGGGCAAAGACCCCTTAAGCAGGGCTCCATCCTGCTCCATTAGGGCTCCTTAGCATAATATTCAAGCATGCTTGACTGAATTCAGGTCTCTAACATTTTTCAGTACCACCTGGGCAGCTCCTAGCCCCATCCCTTCTAGTGGAGGGGATGGGGATCTGTGTGTGTATACACACGCACATGTGTACACTCTCTCTCTCACTCACTCTTCCAGTCTTTGTAGGAGCCTTCTAGCTCCAGCCACTCTAGGAATTTGCATAAAGAGGTTGGTAAATCATTATTTCTTCCTGGTTCATGACATTACAGCTTTGGCTGGTTTTCAGATTTCATCTCCCACCTCCTGTACCTCGTTGCAGCTGGTTGCACAAAAAGCTGATCAGCCTGCAAGCCAGAGGCAGAGAGGCCTGGGTGAAGAGTGCACAAACCTGCTGGGCTTTGGAAATGCTGGGTCACTCCTCCCCTCCCCTCCAGCCCTCACAGAAGCAGCCTCTTGATCGCAGCCAGGCGTCACAGGGCTTGCATGGAACTGGTTTTTGCTTCCCACAGCGAGTTTACGCAGCGCTTGTTTTCCCCACACAGAAAAAAGCGAAAAGTGGCAGTGCAGGTTACCTTTGTGATCTGCAAAAGGTACGCGCTGTCCTGGAGAGGCCCCAGAGGTTAGGGCCAGCAGGATAAGCTGCCTCCGTGCACTGAAAAAAGCCGAACCTGAAAACTTCTGCTGCTGATGGTGTGGCTCTGTCTGCCTTGTTACACATCTGCGGCCAAAGAGAAGAGGGGTAGTCCTACAGGCACTTTCAGCCCAGAATAGCCACTATTTAATGAATTAAATGCACAGGGATATGCTGGGAAGCTGTTGCTAGGGAAATAAGCCACTAACTTGAGATCATTTTGAACAAAGAAAATGAAGTGGAAGTCTGTATGAATTAAAACTGAGGAAAAAAAACCCCAGTATTTGTATTTGCAGAGTAAAATCCTGGTCCCAAACAATAAGCATCAAAACTCTCGTTGCTTTTGGGGTGGATTTCTCCCTTCCGGCAGGTCAGGTTCCCAGAACAGGTTGATCTGTCTGCTTCAGCTTCCAGCATCCCTCAGAAAATGAGACCGTCCATTTTCATAGAGGCACATAGCTGTGTTAGAGTGGGGAGCGATGTCAGAGCTGGTTCTCAAACGATATCGACACCAAGCACGGCGACCCAGTCTGATACCCAGCCATGGGGATACCTGCAATTGTCTTTACTCATGTTTCAAGAGTTACCGCTACAATTTGTTAATTACTCATTCTCAATCATATTTATCCCTACAAATTCTTTGGGACCCCTCCACTGTGGAATTCATGGTCCTAGAAATTAACGCATGTTGGTTTCAAAGGCAGCCAGATCTCTGCTGAATTAACAGTAGTAATGCAGTAGGAAGAGTGCACTAGCAAGGTGCTGTAGCAAGGGCTTTACACCAGGTTGGTGTTGTGCTCCTCCAGTGCTGTTACAGGCTCAGGGAAAAATCACATTATGCACATTAATCTTGTTCTGTCAATGCTAGGGAAGTTTTCCATGTCACAGCCATAAGGTAAATAAGATTTACGTAAAATAGGTTGAAGTGAAATCCTGACTTACCTCAGCATGCAGAAAAATGCTCCTCTGTGTTACAGTGTATAAAGTTCCTTTTCTTCCCTTCTCTTTGGTCAGGTTTCTTGGGGCAGCAGCAGCATCCAGTTTTCAGAGTCTGTGTCTCCTCCTCACCCAGGTTAGTACAAAGCCCATTCACATGGGCCTTCCTACCCCCCTTCCCAATTTTTCCCACGGCCCAGAGTCTTTCCAGCCCTTGGTTGAGGCAGGCACTACCAGATAACCGGCAATGCAGCCAATCAGCACCTGAAAGGAGCCCATGAAATGCAGATGAGGATGCCGTGAGGCCAGCAGGGTACATATTACCCTCTTCAGGAGCACGCTCACATGCTGTCATTTGTGCAGTTTATTTTTCCCACAGCGAGGAGCAAGATCCCCTTCAGGAAGGGATGCTCATCCCCTGGGGAATTACGCTGCTGGCATCACCTCCTGCAGGCTGCAGTCTGTGGGTCAGATCGGAGCTAGAGGGTCAGATTGCCCTGAAGCACTTTGCTGAGCTCCAGCAGAGTTGGCTGTTCTCGCTCTCCTGGCGGCATCAGCAGGAGTGAGAGGAGTGTCAGGTTTTCAGCACCACAAAGTGTTTCTTCCTCCTGTATGTGAATATCCAAGGAAAGGGGAAAGGGGTGGGGGGAATAGCCCTTTGGGCTCACAGATCCTTCAATTATTCTGCAATCAAAGCAGAGACACCTAAAAGGTTGGGCAGGTGTGAATATATGCATTGTATAGACAAGGAAATGATTAAGTCATCAATATTGGGACATCAATTTGCTTATATTAATACAGAAACGTGAGACATACGAAAACTTTTGCAGGCTGGAAAATCTCCATCTGTTTATGTATTTTGGGTGCTTCTCATTTCCTCTACAAATCCAGCTAAACACTTGAACCTGCAATCATGACTCTTAGCGACTCTCTACCCGTGTGCAGTTCCATTGCCCCCAGACCTCTGCCCCTCTGTGTGGACAGGGCTATGCTTTTATCCATATTTGAGCACAGCATGAAAAGATAATAATTCTGAAAAGTCAGATCTGCTGTGAGCTTTCGTACCTCGAGCAAGCATGTTGCAATACAGTGAGAGTCTGACCCGACAGCTTTCTAGGAACTCACGCCTTCGCCAGTAAGACTACGTGGACACAGTGCTGCGTTACCACTGACTTACTCCATTTTGCCTGCTCAGAAGTTTGTCTCCTGTCTGGCTGTTTGGAGGGTAAAAGAGCAAATTATTCTTCTGTTATCCCCTTCTTCCTGCAGATGTAGCTACCCTGCATCTGGAGACTGGGTGAGGCAGAGGCACAAGCCATCTGTCAAGCTGTGAAGCAAAAATCACTGCATGGCAAACTTCTAGGTCTGTAAACAGTTGACATTTGAAGGGAAGCCAGAGGGTCAAGAGTCTGAGGGAGTTTCCAGCTGGATCTCTGGCCAAAATGGCTGGAGCCAGAAGAGTTTCCAGCAGTATTTAAAGAGCTTTGGAGCTTTCCAAGGGGACTAAAGTTCCCAACTTATTTGCATGCTTTTAAGCATCTTCCTCCTGGTGTCTGCTTCCTCAGGTAATTCACCCTGAACTTGAAGGACCTTTTTTCTTGTCTAAATCCATAGGGCTACTGAACATATGAGAGCACTGAAACATGACCTGGGGCAACACCTGCCTTTTGTGAAGACAGATACTGAACAATCTGCTATTGTCTGGTTTACCTTCTCTCCTAGCACCTTTTGATGCAGAACCCATCTCTTCTGTTCCCAACTATTGTCCATCATGGCAGTTTTCGAATTGCCTCTCCTGTGAAGAAAGCCCTAGCTCTTTGGAGCAGCTGGTAGATTCCTGTCTTCAGACAGATGCGCCCTTAGACCCAGCCTTCAGTGCTTTCCAGACGTCTTCTCGCTGCACCTCAGACGCCTTCCAGCCAGTCCCACTCTGCTTTAACCAGGGTCTGGTAAGCTTTGTCTCCCAGGGGAGCAGCCACAGGTGCACTCAGAGGGAAGATGGGGAAGGGAGTCACGTCCTGGGGCAGAACAGCAGCAAACTGATTTGGAACTGTGGCTGCTTTTAGGGGCATGGGGTACAGCCACAGCAATGCAGGCTAATTGTGTGGACTTCTGGGTGGTTTCCCATCGGGAGCAGAGGACAGGGAGGCCCAGCCAAACCTAGACAGAGGCTACAGAATAGGGAATGTCCCTTCTACAGATCCTATACATTTCCTGCAAAGAGTAGCCTAGTTCCTGCTAGCAGTTGTCTAACTCGCAGAAAAGCTCCCTATTAACACTAATGTCACAGGAACTGCCTCTTGTATTTAAGCCTCCAAGGGCTGAACCATCTCCCTGGGTAGCCAGACCCTCCTGAGAAAGGCAACAGCAGGGAAATTCTGGCTGCTGTCCACATTTCCTCAAATGACACCCTGAAACATCCTGTTTTGTTTTGTTTTTTCTCTCAAACTCTAGGCTGCCGGATCCCCCACTTCAGCTGATCTGTCCAGCCCGTTAAACTATAGCTGCTCTCCTCCTCAGCTATCTCCTTTCACCCCACTGACTCACTGCCCACCCTCTGCTCTGGACACCAAGACCTATGGCTATCCTGCGGAGGAGTGGTCCTGCCATACCCCCTCCCCATACACCACCTCTGCCTGCTGCTGCACTGCCTGTGGCTCCCAGCATGCGGACAGCAAGGTCCCGCAGTACTTCCCCTGCCCCAACACGGACTGCATGGACTACCTACCGCCCATGGCCATGGCCGACGACTTCTTCAGAAGGGATAGGAACTGTGACATCTGCTATAGCTAATGGGGACTGTGGTTTTACACATCCACTGTATCCAAATCATATTAATTACCCATGAACTATGCAAAGTTGTGCTGCCTAACATAGTCCAGTTTATTCTTCACTACTCATACATTTTCTACATGACATTGTCACTACATTAGTCCTCCTGTCTTGTACGGTCACGGGTGTTTTGTTATTGTTGTTGTTGTGGTGATTTGTGGGTTTTTTTTTTTCTGTTTGTTTTTGTTGTTGTTTTTTAAAGAAATCCTAAGATGCCTTACCAAACACATGTCATTAAGCCAGCTCTTTTTGATACAAATAAATAATTTCGTATGCATGCTGAAGCCTGTTTGTTCTTCATGTGCTAAATGTCAGTGCTTTTCTCTTCTGCTAATGATCCAGGATCCTGGCCCTGTTCTCACAAGGGTGAGGAAAAGATACTCTCAGCAACCTACGCAAGGAGCAGTTACTCAGCAGTATGAAAGGTCTTGCTTACCCTTTCCAGCAGATAAAAACTTTCTATGTATCCCAGCACCCAGCACAGTATCCAGAGAGAAAGCTGGGCAGCACCCTGCTCTGAGATGGATCTGCAGCTTCTTAGCTGCTGCTTCTGCTCAGGCCGCTGTGATGGTATTTTCTAGCAGTTCTTACAGAAAAGGAAAACCGCTGTTTTCCATGCAAGCTCGGGGCTTAGCCCATGGGTCATGTGCCAGAAAGGCCTCCCAGGCCTGCACAGAGGTTGAATCCAGTGCCAAACTTCTTTGGCTGCTGCTCACCACCAGCTTCCCCATGAAGACAGAGTTGCAGTGAGAGGCTGATGTAGTTCAGCAGCCCTTTCTATACTTTGGTCTGTTGATATCAAGTTTTCTCCACCTTTCAGCATAATCACCTGAACAGGAGCTAAATGTTTTGGGTTTTTTTGGTGTTTTTTTTAAGTAGATAATGGGAAAGTGATCATACCAGAGGATTCACTGTTTCTTGCATAAACCCAGACCTTTCTAAGACTGTGTTTCACCTCCTTTTAATAGCACTTGGTGAGGCAGACTGCCAAGCTACCAGTTTCTCAGCTGAGCACCCGGACTGGGAAGAAAGAAACATCTCTCTATATTAAATCCAACACAAATGAAAAAACTAACTACACCTGTGAAGATAAATACATAACAGAACTAGCTGTATGCTCACTGTCTCCTCCAGACACTTCTACAGTTAACTGATAAGCTTTCCTCTCCCCAGAGCTGAAATTATCCATGTGGCTGAGGATGCAACAGACCTATACCTGTCTGGCAAACAGGGAGGTTTCTTTCTTTCTACCAAAAAAAACAACCAGTATTTCCTCACCTTGTGAAATCTATGAAGAACTAACCTTTTTTTAATGAGACTTTAAAAAATGTTTATATAATGCCAGCTATTTCAACCTTCTAACCCCACCTTCATCAGCAAACAGAGCTGTTACCTCCCATGCAGCCTCTAGGGTTCTCTTCATTTTAGGTTCTATATGAGCTGAAAATGGCATTTTTTCCATGTCCAGTCCAGGTCCCTGGATAGGACATTTCATTTTTGCCATGCTGGACAAGGAGATTACACAGAGAACTGTACGTTTCCAGCATCCAGTTCCTTTACCTTATGTAAGGTAGCAGGTTTTTTTCCAAAACTTGCTTGAAAATACTTTGACAGCTTTAAATAGTATCTTCCATCTCCCCTGTTGTTACCTGATTAATCTCTGAGCTGGTCCAAGTGATAAATGCATTTGGTCATAGAAAGCTTAAAATAGGAGTTAACAGCTGTATCTTTGCTGCAGTTAAAGGTGTGATTACCCCTGTGCAGAGACGCTCTGTTAGGTGTCATTTTAGTAGTGCTGGCAGGTGCTTCAGCCCAAGCGTTACCTCAGAACACTGGAGGGTTACACTTCTGCTGCCCCAGCGTGCTCCACAGCTTGCTCAGTGCCAGCTACTCTTGCCTACTGCTTGAGGAGCGGGCACACCTTTAGTCACATGTCAAGGCCCCTTATCACCAACATGAAAGAGCCACAAGAAGATAAGGTTGAGGCAAGATGTTTGAGGCTTCTAGTGGAAATGGGGTGACCACATCCTTCCCATGGGTTGGCAACATTGGCCAGAGCTTAACAGAGCTGAGGTGTTCTCATAAGTCAAAGGAAAGAGCACGTGAAAATGGTGAGTTAGCATTCAACAAAGAGAGTGCTCATATTAACGCAGTTTACAGCAAGGTCAATAGTATCCCAGTCTACGCAACAGTGCCAGCAAAGAAGTGTTACAGTCTAACAACATATCTCTCACCTCCATATCAGGCGGATATCTAAATCTAATACGTTATCAGCAGATTGCACATTTATCAGTATATTGTGGCATAGATCTGTACAGCTATCAGTGGTTAGACCGCATTTCCGAAGAGAACAGCTCTGTGCAGACTGTGGTGCGCAGTGGAGAGGTTGTGCCCATCATTGAACCTATAGATGCTGTTGAGGCATAACCACTTAGGAATGGCAGTGTGAGCATGAGCGCTACAAACCACCCTACATCCCATTCCTGTCCCTGCCCCTTGGATGTTGCTTGACGTAGGCAAAAAGGCACCTGTCCAGTAGGGGAAGCTGTCTCTTGAAGGGCTGGGCTGGTCTCACCACTAAGCTTCCACAATTCCCAGTCTTGCAGGTGGCTGAGGTCCTGAGTTGGGAGCATGCAGTGTGTTCTTGAAGACAGCAGATATTTAACACCTATTGGCCTCATGCTGCACGGGACCAGCTGCTCTGAAATTACCAACTGCCTGTTGGGACAAGGATCTTTCCAGCAAGATGTTTCTATGCGCTGTGGTCTCTGGACTCTGATAGCTTCCATTAAGTAAGTAGCCCTGTCCTCCATCCCTTGTAGCCTCTTCTTATTTCTCTGCTGCTCTTTCTCGACTTGTTTTGCAATCCCCCATGCCAGGGACTGCAAACATGTTTTAGACACCGTTTCCCAACTCCATGTCAATAGCTCCAGGTGACATATGCAGTGCAAGTAAGAGCTTGCTGACTCTTGTCACAAGAAAGGAAAAAAAACAACAGAGGAGGACTATTCAGAGGTTGGTTGTGCATTTTCTGGCCATGAGGAACATATTCTTTCCCTCCTTTATTCTCCCCCACCCCCTGAAAAAAAGGATTAAAGGAAAGTAGCTTAGGTCATATCTCCAATGGAGCTGGCACAGCACTACTGAAACGCTGGCATTTCATCAGCCCCTGCCAGGTGAAGTTCTGCCAGCCTATATAAACACGTGTTTACACAAAAGTGAGGATCACCCTATTCTTACAAAAGCCATGAATAACTCCAGAAGTTACCAGCAGTTATAGAGAAAATGAAAGGTTCTTACTTTCAGGTTCTTTACCAGTTGCACAAAGTATTTGATCAAAAAGTTTTCCTTGCCAACCAACTGGCGACTTTTCTATGGTGCCACTTCAGAACATTTGTTTGGTGATAACAAGCCTTTGTTATTAGTAACTTATCCAAAGCCACAAGTAGGAAGAGATAAACTGTGCAAATAAAGGGGTATCACACACTGCCAGTACTGCTAAGGTTATAAAAGGTACATTTCCCCTGAAACAGTCATAAAAAAATTGAGGGGTTAACTGTGAACGAAGATGCTGCTCAAATCAATGAAATTCACCCCGGCACAGAAGATTGAACACTCAGGCCACCTTTGAGCCTTAAAAGGGATTTTCTTGATACACAGGCCAGGAACTGGCTGGCTTGACAAGGAAAGGGAAAGGTGCTTTACATGCATGGGGAAGCAGCAGCCTCCAACTGTCTCGTGGATCCAGTCCAAAGACAATATGAACAGCTTGTTGATTGCGGCTGGCTTCAGAGCAGGCCTCTAATGTCTGAGCTTTGGAAAGCTGAACACAGATGTGCCTGTAGAGAGAACGAATCCTTCCTGGGTCCGTCATGGGATCTTCCCTCTGCAAATCTCATCTGTCAACTCTGAGTAACACAGGCTGCCAAGGTGATGCTTTGAATGAAGCCACATCCATCCCTCCCCAGACCGATATTTTCCCTGCTATTCTGGAGATGGTGATGTTTACAGATTACAAGTCACCGATGGCATTGCTCTGTATTAAACATCCAACAGCAGGCAGATGAAACAATAAAGAGATAAGCCACTCTAGAAAACAGCTCATGTATTTTTTTCACTTGCTGCAAAAGGACTTCTGTCATCCCATAGACATTTCTAGATGGCAAAAAGCTTTTTACATTTTCCCTAGTGCATCGCATGCCACATGCTGGTCACGGTTTTACAGTTTTGTTGCTAGCAAGTTCAAGAAACAGTATTTTATTGACCATTTTGTCTTGACACACAGTACTAACTCACCAATGCAGTTATCACTCAATTCAGGGCTTGTTATAACATCCTTTCAAAGTAAGAAAGCACATGCTTTTGCTGGCCTATGCCCAAATACATGCAAATTTATGCAAATACATGCAAATACAGGTCTGCCTTTTTGTCAGCGGATGTTGCCAGGTTTTTAGATATGATGTAGTGGGAAGCAATAACAAAACAGCAGAGAGAAGGGCTGAGAAAGTTGAGAAGATCTCTGCATTTCTTAAGAGCTTTTGTTCAAGTCTGCTAAACAGTTGTTTAAACAGTCCAGGTCTGCGAGACTGACAAGTGCTTTAGCAAACCCCGTCCCATTGAGTTAGTCAGTGGGTGATCAAGGAAGTTACTGCAGTGATTTAAGATATCTGCCCTTCATCTTATTGTTCAGTCCTGTTAGAAAAAATAACTTGTGCAACATTGAGAAATCAGTGAACTATAATTCAGAATGTGTACTGAAGATGAGACACCCTCTGTGAAAGGGTTGTCAAAACATGGCTTTCACTCCCTTCAGGCATCTACCTTCAATCCTATTGACCCGGCAGAGACACCGTTGCCAGTTGATTGCACAGCAATTCACAAATCATTTCATAGAAAGAATAACAAGAATCTATTAAAATGCCCCCTTAGATAAGAATGGGAATAGGAGAGCACTTACCACA